TCCTTGCCTTCCCTTCTCTTCTCCTGTCTTCTCCACCAACAATGAAGCATGTGATCACCTTTTCTGTTCAGGGCTCAAGCCATGTGGTCCTGTTCACTATTAAAACCATCTTTCCAAGCAGCCTCCATGTCTCCAGTGTCTTTTTCCCCACTTGGAGCCGAACCCAGAAGGACATTTCTTTCATCAATATAATGGTATGAAGGAATGACCTTGGGAGTTGCAGGATCCCATTCCTTCTGCTGAGTCTGCAAAAAGAATGGGAACATGCAAGATTCTCAGAAGAGACACTCCCTAATTTCTTAGAGTATAAAGGCGAGGGGGGAAGAGATGTACTTCCAGACTTCCAAGATTCTATTACTATAACCTTACCATAAAGGCAAAACTAGTACTTCTGGGTATGCTTGATGTCTACCTCACAAGGCCAACACTTACGGAGAGAAGAAACAGAATCACTACTGAAACAGAACCACCACCTACCACTCATATATATATATATGCATAAATATGGGCATCAGTGGTGAAATTCACATTTTTTTACTACCAGTTCTGTGGGCGTGACTTGGTGGGCATGGCAGGGGAAGGATACTGCAAAATCTCATTCCCTCCCCACTCTGGGGCCCACCAAAGGTGGCATTTGCCGGTTCTCCAAACTACTCAAAATCTCTGCTACTGGTTCTCCAGAACCTGTCCGAACCTGCTGGATTTCACCCCTAATGTGCATTGAACTGAGCAGTCTGCTTCTCTAATTCCATCCCATATATAACACATGTGAAGCTTGATAGCCTTTTTTGCGGCAGGAGTCCTTTTTCTGCCCCTTTTCAAATTGCACAACGAAATCACTTTTGCTGAAGGGAAAAAAAACACATACCTACGGTATTATGTCTCTTAAAACACCCATACTTATTATGGCTCTTAAAAAGCTCACAAAAGAGTAAAGCATTGTGCAGGAGGAAATAGCCTTGTGAAAGTTTTCCAATTCTTATTTGGAATTTAGTATGCGTGTGGGTGGTTTTATTTTGGAGAAGTTACCATTTTAAAAGTCAAAATGAAAAATCCCATGGGAACAATTAAGAGCAGTGCTACTTGACCTCTGGAATCCAAAATATAAATGCAAATGTTTAAAAATCTTCCATCTCTCAAGAAAATGGTGTTTCCATGAGGAGGGGAATAGGAATGTGCTGTTAGCTGTTCCTGGTGATATCTGGTGACAATCTGGTGATATCTGGTGACAACAAATCCACACAGCTTCCACACATTTTTAAACAGGATCCCTAACACTAATAAACATATATAAGGATGGTCCAGAAACACCATTGAGGACAATAGATTACTTGAGTGGTGAGGAAACCAATTGTTTTCAATAAGGGATATTTTTCTCCCACAAGACAATCGAATAACAATGAAGCATATCTCGTGTCACAAAACAATACACAGAAAAAAGCCTCCCGAGACTCACAAATCCCAATCTTGTGCTTGAGTCACTAGACTTGAGAGCACATCGCAAGTCTCAGTAATAGATCTGAAATATTCTGGGGTAGGAAACAGGGGTAGGAAACAGCTCTGCATCACATTCTTGCGTGATTCTAGACCATGCCTCACTCCTTTTCCATTTTGCCTCCATTATACCTCCCCATATAGACAAATACCTTATATGTGAAGGCTGAGAGTTGGGTGCAAATACTAATGGAATGAAAGAAATATGAAATTTGATGTTCTGGAATCTCACCAAGAATAGCTCCCCAGGGTTATAAATCACAAATAGCAGGAGAAGCAGCAATTGAGCTGTCATGGTGGCGTCCGGGGACGGATGAAATAGAGAAGTGCTTTGGATAGAACAAACAGTTCCTGGTCGATATATCTGAAAGCAAAGGTCTTTGTGTTAGGTTTACTCAGCAGGATGGAGATTGCACCATGGGGATAAACACCGAATCGTAACAGGCGGCTAGGAGCCAAATAAAAAAGACTGAGTATGTCCCCAATGGGACCGTGCATATTATTTATGTGTCCCAGGCACTCTTCTATCAGCAGAAAATTGGCAAGAATGCCATGTTATGGGGATCCCAGCTACATCTGTATAAAAGATGCACAGATGCTTTGAAGGTGTATGTTTTCAGCGGTGGAAGCTTCCTTTTAGCGCTAGGTTTACCTTGATTTGGGTAATCAAATGTCTGCAAGAAAATAACCAAGCTCAGATAGTACCAAGGACCCCTCATTTCAACCCTGAGGTATTATTCTACTTCATTAGGAGCTTTTTCTGAGGTCCAAGTTCTGATGATGAAAGATGCTGCTCACATTTCCCTGCCATGTTACTGCATCTTCCCATAAACCACCCTTAGGTTGCTCCTCTGTGGCTATTAAAAGCTGAATAGAAGGAAATGTGGAGGAAAGTCTTTTTGTCAAAGGCCGGATCCAAATCACACCTCCTTCTGCTCCCTCCCTCCCAGAATATGCTCATGATTAAAGATGCTGAGAGTTTGGCTTGCAGGTCAATATAATGTGTTGTTTATTTCTTATTTTCCAAAGGTTGTGTCTTCTTCCCTAAAAAAAAACAAAACCAGCCCAGGGTTTTCCCCTCAGGTTAAATTGCCAGGAGTGCCTTAACAAAGCATTCTGAGCACAAGAACAGACATTCTCAGTACTTTCAACAGTTACCAAATTGGTATTGGATTTTCAGCTACCAGTCAAATTTCACATACCTCTTTTGTGCAAAAATAAGCAGCAGCCATGTGGGATCTGACAGATTTACTCTTGTTCTGCTTGTTTCAGATACAAATGATGGTGCTGCAGTCAGAGAATAAAGATTCTAGCTCATAAGGGTTTTCTATCAAACAACCTAAGTGTGTTTCTTACAATAAGAGCTTCCTCATGAGGGCCTTGGTCTCCATTACTGTTGGGATATATTCAGCCTCAACTAATATATCATAAGTATTTATAGTCATGAACACGTGGGCAAGTTCTTGTCTTTGTCCTGACCATAATGAGAAACTTTCTGATCGTGGTTTTGACTTCTTGGAGGCCTTCCTTTTTGATTGAAAGGAAATCTGGATAGAATAGTGTTGTATGTGAGTTTCAAAAGTAGCCACTCCAGTAAGTTTATCTTGTGGCTCATTAGGTTTGTAAATGTTCTTTGTGTGTTTTCTAGGGAATTTTATAAAAATTCATTCATGAATCTAATTTTATGCTGCAATTTTGCACATCTTTTGTTGGAAGTAAGTTCCTCTGAATTGATGGGACTTTTCATTCTGCATAGCCATGTATTGGAACATACCTATATACAAATGTATCTATTGCATAACTGACATAATTCATGTTGCATGCAAGAGAGCAGTGTCCTGTCTTGAGCAAACAGATCGGGAACTCCATGGAGGAACAGCTGGAGCATCTGCTTCATTGGATGTGCCTCATGGACTGCTTTCCACAAACAGAATATGTGCCAGTGTTCATTTTAGTTTTGCTTTTCCATGGGCAAAGCATATGCTGTGAAGGTATTCATTCTTACTGTGTTTTTTTTTAAAAACTTTTATTGAACCAATTGACAATGTTCGAATGGGGCATTTCTCCTGGAACCGCTGGCATTTGGGCCATTGGTGACCTTTGGGCAAATTGGAAAGACAGCCAATTTTGTCTAGTGATTAAAACACCAGGCTAGAAACCAGGAGACCATGAGTTCTAGTCCTGCCATATAAAAGCCAGCAAGGTGATTTTGGGCCAGTCATTTTCCCTAGAGCCCAATTCACCTCACGGGGTTCTTATTGTTGTGGGGAAAATAAGAAGAGGAAGGTGTGCATTCAAATGCTTGAGGAGCTTTCAGAAGTTACAGTGGATGCAGAGTGCAGTGGTGCAGGCAGTTCTTAGGGCCACTAGAATGGTCCACGTTACATCCTGCTTTGTGAAATGCACTGATTGCTAGTCTGTTTCCAGGTACAATTCAAGGTGTTGATCATCACCTTTAAAGCCCTGCAAGGTATGGGTTCAGACTACTTGAGGAACCGTCTTGCCCCAATGAGACTGGCTGCACCACTGCCAGCAGAAGGGGCAAACTGTGGATCGCATCAGCCAAGGAATTTTGGCTGGCAGGAAGAGTCTTCTCTGCCATGGCTCCTGCCCTCTGGAACATCTTAC